TATATATATATATATATGTATATATATTTACATATATGTATAAAGTTGCATGCATTTGCTTTAATTATATTTGTTTTTATTTTATTTATTTTTATTATACTTGTCTTCATTACCATTTTTTTTGTTTTTATTTTATTTTTATTTTATTTTTATTTTTTATATTTTTATTTATTTTATTTTTTTTATATTAAAATATATTAATATTGTTTATATACTAAAGAGTAGAGTTAGTTGTTTATGTTTGTTGTTTTATTTTTTTTCTTTTTTTTTGTTTTTTTATTTATTTATTTTTTTATTGTTTTTACTATTTATATTTTCTCTCTATTTATTTATTTTTTTTTAATTATATATTTTTCTTTTTTTTTTTTTATTATTTATTTACCTATTATGTATATATTATTTATTATGTATACATTTCTCCTTCTTTATATTCATTTATTTGTTTATTTATATATTTATATTTATTTATTTATATTTATTTATATTTATTTATTTATTTATATATATATATATATATATATATATACTACATCTGTTAGTATATATGGGTTAGTTGAGGGCCCCTCACTGCCTATATAATAAAAACTTTTTTTTTTTCTTTTGTTTTTTCTCTATTATATATTAATTTATTTATTTATATTTATTTATTTATATTTATATATTTATTTATTTATATTTATATATTTATTTATTTATATTTATATATTTATATATAAATATATTACATCTGTTAGTATAGGTTTATCTATGGATATATCTTTATAGGGGTTAGTTGATGTATATATAATAAAAACTAAAACTTTTTTTTTCTCCGTTTTTTCTCTATTATATATTTATTTATTTATATTTATTTATTTATTTATATTTATATATTTATTTATTTATATTTATATATTTATATAAACATATCTTACGTCTGTTAGTATAGGTTTATCTAGAGGTATATCTTTATAGGGGTTAGTTGAGGGTCTCTCGTTGCCTATATAATAAAAACTAAAACTTTTTTTTTCTCCGTTTTTTCTCTATTATATATTTATTTATTTATTTATATTTATATTTATATATTTATATATTTATATTTATTTGTATATTGTTTCTTACGTCTGTTAGTATAGGTTTATCTAGGGGTAGGGGTTAGTTGAGGGTCTCTCGTTGCCTATATAATAAAAACTAAAACTTCTTTCTCTTTTGTTTCTTCTCTATTATATATTAATTTATATATTTATATTTATTTATTTATATATATATATTTATATAAACATATCTTACGTCTGTTAGTATAGGTTTATCTAGAGGTATATCTTTATAGGGGTTAGTTGAGGGTCTCTCGTTGCCTATATAATAATATTTAAAGTCTGGGACTTCATTCATAACAAGAGAAATATCTTCTTTAACAAAAGGTACGCGTTTATATTGTGGTTTTGCTGCTGCTGCTGCTGCTGCTGCTGCTGTTGCTGCTGCTGCTGCTGTTGATCCATGCTGCTGCTGAGTAGAGAAAGAACGAGAAAGAGAAAACACAGAAAGACGGCTCATTATGCCTTTCTTTTTCTCCCCCCAAGCTGCATATACACCCCAAGAAGAACACAAAGAAGAAGGGACCCCAGAGGGGCTGCTACGTATTATAAACCGCATAATAAAATATAAAATAAAAATAATTTATTTTTTTATTTTTATTTTTTATATTCAAACTTATACAATACAATCACCAATTCAACATTCTCTTGTTGCTACTCATGCAACAGCAGCAGCAGCTGCTGCTGCGGCTGCTGCTGCTGCTGCAGTAGCTGCTGCTGCAGTAGCTGCTGCTGCTGCTGCGGTAGCTGCTGCTGCATGCACAGCTGTTATTCTAGCTTTTTTGTTTGTTCTTTGTTTTATTTTCTGTTTTTAATTTGTTTTTTTAATTAAATTTATTATTTTTAGCTGACGATACACCTGAAACAACAACCACCGCACCCTAGGCGCTACCGTCTGGTGGTAGGGTGTATGTACACCTCAACGCAGGGGGGGTTTTCTCTTTGTTTTATTTATATTTTATTTTTTTAATTTGTTTTTATGTTTTTAAATAAAAAATAATATTTAATATTATATTAATAAATACTTTTATGCATGCAGCAGCAACAACTGTACATACAAACTCTGTTTCTCTGCTCTATCAACAAACTTCTATACTTAACCTTACACACTTGTTTATATATATGCATTTATATAATATATACACACATATATATATATATATATATATATATATATATATAAATATAAATATATATATTTATATTTATATGTATATACATCTGTATAAAACACAATACATACACTCGATAGCATATATTATATATAACATGTTACACATACGTATGTATGTATAAAAAAATAATATAAAAAAATAATATATCAATAGAATATATATATATA